GGCCACCGACCATCTTCTCGCATCCGTCGCCCATTCCCGTTGGACTCCGGCTACCGGACATGCTGTGGAGAGAGCAAAAACATACAAAATATTAATACGACACCGATTAAATGTGATGGTATGCATCGTTTAATATTTTCAACGTTAAGACCACATAAGACGTGAATAACAATACTATAGAATTACGACGATACATAAATATGGCAGGTGAGTTTATAATATTGAAATGTAATGGTGACTTTCCTAAAGGTACCTATGTTGACTTCTGTGGGAGGAGTTGTAGAATTTCTAACTTTGCAAAATGAGCAAACTGAAATATATGCAAAAACCATAATGTGTGATGTTGATATTTTTCAACAATAYATAATATGCGGTTTATCCAAACACTAGCGTACACAAAGGTGTGTGTTTTTAAWAATTAATTTCACGTAATTGTATTTTTAGTTATTTACATTTTAACTCACAACTCATTTTTAATCAAGCGTATTTAATTAAAGCCATAACAAAAAATTGTTTACTTTGATTGTTTTTTTATGTATAATATCACCTGCACGTAGTTATTTACAAGTTTGTTAGTTTCACAATAAAACATTAAATATATAACCACGATTAAATGCGCCAAAAAAATAATACCAAGACGTTATATAGTAAATTATAAACTATCTATATTGCCTTACACGATATACTTGTAAATTACAACCAAAATTACCAATATTCGTCAAAAATAGTTTATCTAATCTTGGCAAATTCGTAAAGGCGGGTAATACTCGTATAAAAARCAAAAAAAATGCCAAAGCGCCATCRACCAAGACGCTCTTTAATTATTTTTCTATAATTGAACATATTTTGTTATGGTGAATATTGTGAATCGGAGGATGCCAGTGTGGGGTCATATGGACATGAGCACATAGGTGAAATTTTCTCAAAGTAAACTAAATAAGGTTTAACCAATAACCATGGCTCGATAAACAGGCACGCCAACAATTGATAAGCAATATTTTATCAAGCCATGGGTTTAATGTTAGAGGTGCTTCAGATCCTATAGTATAATTAAAAACAATCTATTTTATTTTCGATAGACAAATAGCTGGTAATGTATAGCAGTTTATAGGTTCATATTATTTTTTTCCKGGAGGGAGCAAGTGCCCTGTCTTGCACTCTCCGACCGCCACCAAACAGGTGCCTATATTGTTAAAGATGGTGTCCATTATAATCAATTCATACTCGTGAAATAATATTGTAGTCGCAAATATCAACCGATATGATGATATATATTGTATGCACACACTAAACACACTAACTCGGAGTAATTGACAACGGTATTATTCGCATTCAACTATATGTATAGGTACAGTACCATATGCACAGGTACCGGGTGTACGGTATAATATTATTATTTTATGGGCACGCAATAACAGGGAAACGCGCTAATAGTTACTTCGAGTGTATACTGTATATTATTATGTGTATAATAATTATTATGTTCATTATCATTATAAAAATATGGTTGGTCGTCGTTTAGAGTGTGGAAAAAGTCGAAAAAAAACTTGAAAACCTGTTTTTATTCGTGGATCCAAAACCAAGCCATTCATGGTACATATTTTCGCGCGATTCTTAATTCTCATGATTATAATAATAATAATTAATAATAGTCAAACGAGAGAGGTGGCAATAATGACCAACAACGATGCACCGTCCGCGTTATGCGTTTGTCTCGCGTCCTGCAGAATGCAGTTAGGTATATTGCATTATACGCTTAGGTACGATTATTATAATGCTATAAATTATGTTCGTTTGAAATTTTTTTCGTATATTTTTTGACGATTCTTACGACCGTTAAACGCTGTTCGTGAGACGGCGTGTAATACGCGAAAAAAAATAATGAAAATAAAATCACACACACTGCGCGCGGCGTGGGACAAACGCATAACAAAAAAAGTTTAGAGGTAAACATCATTTGCGTATATATTTTTAGTCCGGTCGAGTGGTACATTTATTATGTACATGCTATCACAATTCATTGCAGATCTGCAGAATCGTGCAGCTGTTAATAATTATTAGTCAAACGTCGATGTATATGCATATAATAGCAGTGTTCGATATGTATACTATACAGCACTTTAAAATAAATTATTATTATTGTTATTGTTTTTTTTTTTTATAAAGTTTTCCTGACAAAGTCATCTAAACTTACTTAGGTATTATTGTTATTGTCGATCACGCATTCTGCTAAACATATTATTATTATTATTATTATTATAGTATCGCGGGGTATATATCAGGCTTGA